GATAAACCGAAACACCTCCTTTAACCATATTCTCAACTAACCCTCTGGCTATTTCTCTTACCAAAACTATGAATTAGCCAAAGAGGCTTACTTACATGTATTTCTTTTTCTCATTCTTCTAGTTGCTGAACTAAAACACAAGTCAGTAGGATGGAGAAGAAAGGAAACAAAAGATGTGGATGACACAGAACTAGGTGACCAGGTCCCAGAGCATTCTTGAAAACTTACTGCACCTGCCCCGACCCCCATCAGAGAGGAGATCAAAATGAAAGCTCTCTTTTTAGGGGGTAGCGAGGGTTAAATGGACATAATTATCAACTTAATTCTTTTTTAAGAATAATGTTCTGATTCTGATCTTAGCACATTAATCAGATTCACTTTCAAATTGCTAAGAAAACTCTGAGACAGAGAAACTGAAGATAACATGTTACTGAAGGTTGTGAACAGTTCTTTCATAACATCTTATTTAAAATTTTTAGATAGATAAAACACAGACTCGTTATCTGAGTTCCTGCTTCTAAGACCATTTTAATGTAAATTGCTTGAAGCTCATCAACTGATTGTTCATAACAGCCTTTTCATAAAGAATGCCAGTGCCTGCTGATTGGCTTTTGTTTGCATCTCTGACCAAAGGTTCTGGAATAGGCAGATGATTTCTTTACTAATGAGAAATAACAGGCATAACGATGCTACAAACCAAGAGCAGGTGTGTGATATTTGAAAAGAGATATTGGTGGTAAAAATTCCAAGAACTAAGCAAAGCAAAGAAAGAAGAGAAAGAAGAGACAAAGAAAATAGGGAGTTGATTACTGGGACAACATACTGATTCCCTGTTAACGTCATAAAAATTCTTTATTGAACTCAAAAGGATGACACTCTTGGTGTATCTCTCTTTGACATAGGTAACTTCATGATTCACAAATCAAGCAACATAAGAGAGCAATAAAAATTCTTAATTGTATCTCTGCTCCCATAGCCTCACCCCTACCTCCCATAATCACTTTTAATTTCTTGTGTCTTCTTCCAGAGTTTCTTCATACAAAGATAAGCAAATATGAATATATTATTATTTTTCCTCTTTCTTACCCAAAAGGTAATTAACCTACTACATTCTTGTTCTGACCTGAAGGGTCTTCTGTGTCAGCTCCTAACCTCTGCATTGCTTTATAGCTGCACAGTACTCTACCGCAGAGGTAAAGGCATGCTTTTAATCACGCCTCTATTGACAGATTTGGGGTTGTTTCAATGTATCTGCAGAATAAACATTAAGTAGGACTACTGGGTATCATGGGTTGAATTATGTCCTTCCATAGAAGGTTATGTTGAAGTCCTAATCCTCAGTACCTTAGGATGTGACCTTATTTGGAAAGGGGTTCATTTTAGATGTAATCAGTTAAGATGAGGACTGGAGTGGGGTGGGCCCCTAATCCAATATGACTGGTGTCCTTATGAGAAGAAAGCCAGGTGAAGACACAGAGACAGGGAGAACACACTGTAAAGATAGAGGCAGAGGTCAGAGCTATACAGATGCAAGCAAGGGACCATTCAAGATTGCCAGCAAACCACCATAAGGTAGAAAGAGGCAAAAGGATTCTCCTTCAGGTTTCAGAGGAAATATAATCCTGCTGATGTCTTGATTTCACACTTCTGGCCTCCAGGACTGTGAGCCAATACATTTCTGTTAGTTTAAGCCACCCAGTTTGTGGTACTTTGTTATGGTAGCTCCAGGAAACTAACACACTAGGTCAGAGGGTAAAGCAGTTATAATTTGATAATTGTTGTCAAATTACCCATTCCCCCTTAGGGGTTATTCTCATTTACAGTTACAAGCAAAGTCTGAGAATGCCTGCTTTCCCACAGCCTTACAACAATCTATCATCAAACTTCTGGGTTTGTGCAAATCAGATTGATGATTTAACACGAATTTCTCTAAGCATGACGACTTTAAGCATCTTTTCATATGTTAAAGGGCCATTCATATTTCATTTCCTGTGAAATGTCTTTTTCATATTCTTCATCCATTTTTTGGATTGATTTTTTTTTAACCTTCTCAACTTCCAGGAGTTCTTTATATACTAAAGAGATTAGCCATTTGTCTGCGATATAAGTGAAACTAAGTGAAACTATTTCCACCAGTCTGTCTTTAGTCTTTTAACTTTGTTTCTGGTGGGGTTTTTTTGTCCCACAGACATTTTTGATACTGACAAGTTTGCTGGCACTGCTCCAAGCACTGGATCTTTAAACTACTTAACACATTTATGTTCACAATATGTGTGATGAAAAATAAGTTTCTAGAGCACTCACATCCAACTCAAGGATATATGGCAAGATTCCTGGAACAACCTCACCATTTCAGACACTATTTACTGGATTTCTCTCAGTGGGGACTAACCGGACCATGAAGATAAAAATGGATTAGGGTTAAAGGAACTGCTGTGAGGGAAACATCAGAAAGAGAGCATGAAACATACAATCACTGAGAACGGCTCCATAAACTTACTTGGAGTCACTGCTGAATGGCAATAACATTGTAAAGAATCAAAGGGAAGGTAAATATATATGCTGCTTAAAAAAATTCTTCTCAAAACCTGAATTCCTAAAGATCATGTTTTAAAATATGAAATTATTCTGTGCTTAACAAAGAGCTCTGCTGTAATTTTTAAATAGCATTTCCCAGTGGGAAATGATAGCAGATTTAGAATCAAAGCTTGAGTACAAATTCCAAGTCAACCTTTGAGAGAGACATGTATCTTGTGTGAGCCACAAGCTACCTGAGTCTCAACTCCATCTCCTACGTAATGGAGAAAATTCACATCTACCCCACCATAAAGCTGCTGGACTGGAGCAGGGGCAAAAGTGCTTAAACCATAAAATACTAAATAATTAGAAGTCATTTGTTTATCCCAAAGAGGAGGTGAATTCAGTTTTTTTGCAACCTGGCTATCACATGATAAAATGATTCCCATACAAGTTACTTAGACTCCAGAAGAGGTCTGTAGGACACTTCAGAGGGAATTATATAATTGAAATTATGGTGCCCTAAGCATGCGGTGAAGAGAACCAGACGGGGCAGAGCTGGAAGTTACACATGTGGAGTGCTTTGGTCCGTTTTTACTCCTAGACCCTCTTTCATAATCCCGAACTTCTTCTTTTTTTTAAATTTTATTGAGGGATAGCTGACAAATATAATTGTATATATTTAAAGTCTACAACGTGATGATTTGATAAACATACACTGCACATTGTAGAACGGTTACCAAGATCAAGATGATGAACACATCCATCACCTGACAGAATTAACTTTATTTTCCATGGTGAGACTGCTTAGGATCTTCTCTCAACTGCTTTCAAGTCACGATACTGGATTATTAACTACAGTCACACATGCGGTACATTGGAGCCTCAGAACTTGTCCTTTTAAGTGAAAATCTGTACCCTTTGACCTAAAATTGCAAACTTCTGAGCTGATAATTCTCACATGGCTTATGGCCTTGAGGTAAAGACTCAAATTAATGATAAATGCATTAAATACCTTAATGCTCCTATTTTCACCACCCCATCTAAATTAAGATCTGTGCCCAATAAAGTGATCCTATCAACTCTGCATGACTCAAGATGAGTTCATTGTCAAAGCCAAAAAAGCATACAAGGACCAAGACTTAAGACCGAACTGTTCCACACATTCACTGCATGTTCCATATGTTCATGGTGAATATATTTCCATACTTTCATCACACAGCTCCATACTCAGAACAGATATTATTAAGTACAAATAATATAAAGGGGTGGTCATAGCTCAGTGGTAGAGCACATGCTTGGCATGCATGAGGCCCTGGGTTCAATCCCCAGTTCCTCCATTTAAAAATAATAATAATAATATGCACATATCTATACAACTATTATTTACTCTGAAAAACAAGTGAGATGCCTTTGATTGTATGTATCTAGCTTTTAATTTAATTTTTAATTCATTTTTTAATTACAGTTTCTCTTAATGAAGAAGAGATGAGTAAATTAACAGGGACTCTTCTGCTTCCTGATCAATTCACACCGCAGCCTACATCTACATCAGACGAAGACTAAAAATAATGCTGCACAGCCCTTCCCTCCACTCCATCATCTAGTTTCTATTAAACAACATACGGAAAATGTTCACACCAGATTTTAAAAAAGCAGACACTGTGCTAAATACTGTGTATCCCTCGCATTTGTCAAATTTTTACTTTTTAGAATTCTTAAATTAAAAAATGTGGGAATTAAGCCAAAAATATCAAAAAATAGCACTTTCCTGAACTTACAGAGGGGATGGGAAGGTAGGGTGCCCTTGTGCTGCCACCCCAGTGCCCCTCCTCCCCCAGTGGGGCTGTTTCCTGCCCGACGCTGACAACCAGCTAAAGACTCAACTCGCAAGATTTGGTCGTGTTCCCCAAGCTGTACCCTGATATATGAAATTAGACAGACACTTGTTCAATTGACAAATTTTAGGGAGACCCATTACAGGCAAGATACTGGGGTAATTTAAAAAGGACCATGACACACCCAGTGCTCTCTAGAAGCTCACCCTCTGGGTTAAACAGCAAGGCATGTTCATAAGAAACCAACTGAAAGGCGTCACCAAAACAGCCACCGGGAAGCTTCCCCTTGTCGTGAGGCACGGGTAATTATGTGCTGTGTATTGTCTGTTCCCTAGACTTCGCTTAGCTTCACCTGCCACTATCTCCTCCCAACCAAGGACACGGTATCGTATGTGGGTTTACTCATGGAAAGCCATTTAGAAAATGGCCTTCCTAGTTCATTAAGGTGAAGAGAAAGGTTAAAAAATTTGTAAGTTTAATAGCAACTTGCAGAGCAGCTGCAATGCCTAACTTTAGGGGGGTGCCGTTCACCTGGAAACTGGACTGGTAGTTGGAAGCTGGTGAAAAGCCTTGGCAAACTCCTAGAGACAGAAACTGCTGCCTCTGGGAAGGAACACATTGTTCCAACAAGACTGCCACCGCCTTGGGTACCGGATTAGTTTGAAACTTGTATCATGGCAGCTGGGGCTCATCTGATGGGGAATCACCCAGGACATCCCAATCCTGTGTCTCCCTGCCCACCTTCATCTTACCACATGTGACAAGCGAGCTGTCAAACAACAGAGATCTTCAATTCTATAATGTGATGACTCAGAGTTGTTTGTTTTTTGGTGTTTACTTTTTATATGTACTGGCAAGGACGTGGGGAAACTGTGATTTGAGCTTAACCAATACTGTTACATGTTCAGTAGTACTCTTAATATTTATCAGAAAAGAGCTATTTTATAGTTTTCCTTTTAGGTATATGACTTAAAAATTTTGAGTACTTTTCAAATACAGGTTTTGTAGCATATATTTAGGGGTAAAACATAAGCCATCTTAAATTTTCCTGCACTGGATTCAATTTTTCCACATGACGTAGATCAATTTTCTCCTCTCACTGTCTCTCCCTATTCTCAGCATCAAGCTAATTCCTTAGCAGCAGAGACAGGGAAACAAAAAGTAAAGAAACTGTGATTTTACAGAGACAAAGAATGGGGGGAGTTACCTATCTTTAAAAAGAACATAAATTTTAAATTTTCCAATTCTGAAAGGATTGGGTACATTATCTAGACTGTCTGTTAAACCCTCTTTCTCCTTCAGTTGCAGTTGCTGAGAATGGGAGACAGCTTTGGGAGCCTTTATTCTAAAATAGCATCCCAACACCTCCCAGGATCTGTCTGCCAATGCAAATAGTTGACAGCTATGCCAACCTTACAGCTACTGATGTGAAATAACATCACTTTTATGAAGGAATAAGACTTACAAAAAGGTGTGACAGATGGAAGATAAAGAGTAGGGGAAAACAAGAGAAATCATATAAAAAGGTAATGAGAAAAATTCTACAGCAGAGGAAGGAACACAAAATTTGCTGCATGCATGGTCACCCTCTTAGGTTACTGTAAAAGTAACCCTGGGCTTTTGTGTGAAGCAGCACACTTCAATGCAGATCTTTTTTTTTTTAATCTTAATTTTGCATAGACGACGCCTATAGTGCTTTCCAGGCCCCATCCTCCCGACTTTGCTACAGCCTCCTCCCCATTTCTAGTTTGCTGGTGACTTGGGAACCATCCCCCTATTTTTTCCTACTCCTTCTTTCTTGACTGCTCTGTTTCCTTAATGTTCAACGTTCAGACAATAAGAGTCCATCATTATTAGCTATCCTTTTAAGGAAGAGCCTTCATAAATTTGGGTTTCTAAAGCCTTTCAAACACATCTAGGTAATTTACTGGGTATTTTTTTCTTCCAAGCTTTCTTTCAACCTTTAGTCAGTGTACACAAATAAAATCCTCTCTTCTAAATTGCCTCCTATTTACTACTAGCTTTTGTTTTTCCTAAGAACAGCATCTCCTTCTGCCCCTTTTCCAGTTTGTTAATGCACCGTTCTAGAGATAGAATGGAAAATGTGACACTTACCACATTAATAGGGGGTCTTTTGAAGTAAAATGGTAGTTTCTCTGTTATGGTTATGCAGACTAAATCTACATCTAAATGTGTACAAGCAACCTGTCAAAAAGAAAGGAACAGGTAAAGTCAAAAGGAAAACTGGCACAAGTGAAGAATGGGGTGGGGGCAAACCAGCTATAAAGAAATGTAAACAGATACAGCTCACTCCACAGGCATTCTAAGGGTCTGTGTTCAAATACATCTGTCCCTTTACAAAGTCAATGGTGAGCCATTCCTTCACGTTTGGTCCGAATGGTTTAACTATAATCCAGCTGAAGCAGTGGGTATGTCTACAGACCATGTCAACAGACAGGGTCTAGAAACCTTCTAATTCATGGTCAGCTACATAACGATAGGTTGTTGTTAAGAGAGGTTCAGTTTCTGGAAGGTTACGTTAGATTGTTCAGAAAAAGGAAACTAACTCTTCTGAAATTCAAGAAAAAAAAATAAGCCAAAAGGAATGTATGCAGAGTCCATTTACTCTGGAAATTATTTCTGTGCCAAGAACTGTCCCAGGCCTGTGGCTCATATCAGTCTGAATGGTGAAGAAACACTCACCTGGCACTGCCAATGGCATTTTGTTCAAATGCTAATAGAAACAAAGTGTCCCCATAAATGGTCAAAACAAAGCTGTTATAAATCAAAGGACACTGAATGCATTTTTTTCAACTTTTCATTTCCCTTTCCTTTGTCCTCATTTTTGCTATTACTTGTTGATGATACTCTGCATTTACTTTCAAAAGAAATTTGAAACTGCTTACAAAAAAATACCTGCAAGATAAAAGGAACAGATAAGGAAATCAGGGTAAAGGAAGATCATGGAAGGAAAATAAAGCCTGGGAAAGGTGACTTGCACAGAAGTGCAGGCCAAAAGATGGTACTAAAGATGCGTATCTGGCTCTCAATTTGCCATTATTTGATTTACAGCGATAAAAAGAACTGGCTGTTTTATACTATAATAGAAATGAGACTTGCTGCCCGTGCTGGTGTCTATAGGCTTGATGAACAAATTCAAGCTGCCAGGGTGGCTATGCTGGCAAACCAATGTCAGTGGCAAGACCAAGGGAAAGGGCAGAGCAAGGAAGATGGGTCAAGAGAGGATGACAATGCCCCGGAGGAGCGGATCCTCGTTTAGCAATGACAGGAATGTCGCATCTTGTCCCTTTTCCTCAGAATCCCCACATCAATCATTCCCACCCCCACCCCAGGGCTCTAAGAAGCAGGTAGTGATCAGAGGCTGCCTGGCTTTAAGACACTCAGAGAACTGAGTAAGCCTGGGAATTAACGCTGTTTTGGCAGAAACACTTGGCTCCTAAATGATCTGCCCCATCTCAACAGCTACAGCTGCCCAACTCATAAAAGAGTCATCGAAAATTTGATAAGAATAGGCCAAGGAAAGCTCTGAGTAGCAGATAAAACAGAAAACAGGTTCAGCTCCTGTTTGCCTTCCTAAAACTATCAGAATGGCAAAAAGCAAAAAGTTCAGGAATAAGCAGCTGACACAAGAATGAACAGGGCTTCACTGGGTCTTTACATCAGTCCAGAGTCTTGAAAAGCATTTCAGCAATAGGTATCAAAAATACACATGTACACATCAGCAAATCTCATCACTAGAAAGGTATCCCATAGAGACTAGAAATATCTTCTACAGCTATATACCCTGCATATGTTTGGGGTTATTAGTGTAACGACAGCCACTGCAACACCAATCACAGAAGAACAGACACAATTAAACATCCCTCAATTTTACTTAAAAAAAGGATGGCCCCTTTATATGATGGAATATGCTGACTCCTTAATCAGAATGAGGTTCTTCTCTGATGGATATTATAGAACCATCTCCAAGATACACTGTTAGGTGACAAAAGCATGGTGGTAGGGAGCAAGGAAGGAGAGAGGGAGAAGGGAAGGAACGAAGGATAGACCAGGTAAATAATACTTCTGAAAAGACACACAAGAACTGCTGGCAGTGGTTGCCTCTGGAGAAAAGAAGAGGGCGTTTTAGGTGGGAGGAAGGCGTACTTTTCAGTGCATACCTCTTTGCACTGTTTGACTTTATTATTACAAACATAAATGATTCTTAATTTTAAAAAGCTGATTCATTTCTCAAACACCTATGAAGCATTCTTCCCCAGAGTAAAGTTAAATTAGGTTTTTTACTTATGTATTGCTCCTTTCTTCCCTTTTCTATATAACAGTGGTTAATTAAAAAATACCCCCTGTGTGGGTTTAAGTACATGCATTGTAAGAAACTTTCAGTGACAAAGGACAGCTCCACTTGGCTCCCTCTGCTACCAGTAACTTAGAATGGCCCAAATCAAATTATTTTATTATTTAGCTTTCTATTAATTCAAATGTTCAATTAATAAATTCAGATAACTACAAAACAAGTTAACGTTCACGTTACGATGAAATGCTTTCTAAATCATTAAAAAAGATTAAATTATGTCCAAAGAATATTTGTGGCTAAGCATATTGTTACAGTGGTTTTTACAGGTTGTGTATGAATTCATATCAACTGTTCTTAAACTTTTCCTTTTTTTGGCCAAGGACTCCCATGAGGATCTAAGGAACGCAGAGTCCTAAAAGCGCACATATACCCACATACATTTATCTTTGACTTTATGGAACAAGGGGAACAGGAGTGTAGGAGTTCAGTCTCCCCCAATTCCCTTTCATGGATGTCACGTTGATACATCTTGGTATTCTATGACAAACAGCATACAAGGCAGAGCTGGGACTGCCCAGGGCAAAGAGAGGTGCCCAGCAACGGTGCCTCTCGACCTAAAGCGCATTAAGAAAAAAACCAAAAACCCTCCCCTAAAGAATTTACTTAAAATGGAGATTATCAGGCCCCACTCCCAGTAATAATATGAAATTCAGTAAGCAGGGTCTAATAACCTGCACTTTAACAAATTTCCCGGGCCATTCTGGTGCTTGGAGCCAGACCACACCTTGAGAAGCACTGCCTTGAAAGCTATGCCCACACGTTGGTGGCTCCACTACAACAGTGCTCTGCAAAGGGGAAGCCGTGGACTTTGGAAGCAGAAGGAAAATGGAACTTCCGTTTTCATTTCACTGACTTACATTTTGTTTTGTTTTCTGTGTGTATATAATTTCATAAAGCACAATGGTATAATGGAACGTGCAAATAATTTAAAAGAAAATAAACACACATGCATTGGGGATGCAGGCTCAGTATTTTTTTATATCGATAGTGTACATACTCAAAGTAATTTGACGACCACTGGACTGAATAACCTTGAATTCTCCTCACCCTCTCCAGTCGCTTTAAATCCTAAATGGGAACAACGAAACTGGAAGCTCCTGAAACATTTCTGCAACTCTTCCTGCCCACAGTCCTCTGCCACCCTCGTCCTCCCAAGAAGCCCTGGCCTGGACTCTGCTCACAATCTTTCATCTTTGCCTTATCCCCTGGGGTAACCATGGAGAGGAAGCGTTTACCACGAGATACCTTTCAGGTACTCCGATTAAAAACAGTATGTTACTTCCCATGGAAACAATGCTACTTAAGGTGGTTAGGTTTTATACTAAGTACTACCGTGTGTAAGAACACGTTTATGACTCATTTTAGAGACCTAACTTCATTTCAGAATACCATATCATAGGGACACTTCCTGTTTACAGACCAAACAAACAAAATCACTTACAGAATATGACCTGTTAAGCAACAGACTGTTGGCATTTGACCCAATTCCAAACCATAACATGCTTTCAAAAGCTTTATGATTAAAAGAAAGATGTCTTTTTAAATTGATTTTCTATAGAAAACAGAGAGAGTGCCAACTTCAACTGAGTCCTAAAGAATGGGTAAAATCTGGACAGATAAGATGCTCTGATTTTAGAAACTATTTTCATGTAGCTTTTTGTGTGTATCTGTACAGTCAATTCCAAACAAATACTGTCAATTATTTATGGCTTTCTTCCATCTTTCAGAATATTTCTAACTGTTCCACATGCCATCAAGTATGTGTCCATGCTTTTGAATTAAAACTTTGGGATAATCTGAGAAAAACAGGTAATAAGATAAATGAGTAAGATAAATTTGCTAAGTCAAACTATAATGTATTCTAAAATGCAGAAGTCCTAGCTCTATGACATATTACCTGAGACTTAGAGCAAATCATCGAGTCTAAGTCTCAATTTTCTCTTCTTCAAAATGGGGATCGTAATAAGCATCTGTCCTGATTATTCCCAGGAATGCTGTGTCAGAAGTAATAAATACGTAGAAGCCTTTTGGAAGGTTATATAAACGTATGCTTTCTGGCCATAATCTTACTTTGTAAGTGTTTTATTTGTTTCTCTAATCACCAGTAAATGACTATGGAAATGTAAGTTGTAAGCGCTTCAAAATCAATCCAGAAAACAAGTGTATGATAGAAAATTTGATACATTACCGACTTTCAGTCTATGTTACAACTGAGATCTATTTAACAACAAAACTAAGTTGCTGTTAAACAAATTTGGACACGTCCATGATCTTCCTTAGGTTTTCAGCACTTAATCAGAATCCCTTGTGGAATCTGAAAAAACAGAAACCCAAACTCAATCCCAAACCTGCCAGATCAGAATCTCCAGTGGTGGAGATCTGAATGGGACTGATTTTAAAAGGTTCCACAGGGGTCTCTGGTGACTAAGAACCACTTAATCCCACTCATTTTTTTTTTCTGAAACAAAATTCTTGAGAGTTACTATAGCTGAGCACTTTATAAAGGGAGTCACCAAAAAAGGAGAATTCACAGATAATTTGTGCTGTTTCCCTGCATTAATATATATGATTAAGAATTGTTAGTATGCCTTGAAAATGAAATTTAACACACACCAGTCTTTTTAGTCAATAGCTCCATCTACTGGATAAACTTAGGGAAAATCTTCCTATAATTTTAGAACAGATTTTGCTTAAAAATGAATTACGCTGAAAATTAAAACATCAAAGACTGGTTCTTTTTTTTACCCTACAAAATCCCTTTGGTGGATATATTTTTGGTAGATGACTACTTTTTTGAACCTCGATAAAGACAACATTCTCAACTTTCTAAAACTGGCTCCACCTCATTTTATACAGCAAAATATATTCCTGAAAAACTATATTGATTTTTTTCTTGTCTGTCATCATTTAAAATGCCCAGTGTGTTCTGACTCAAACTGACAAAATGAGCACAGATGTTAAACAACTTTCCCTCCTGAAAAGTTACAGAAAAGGCCATTTGAAAAGTCAAAAGAAATTAAATTCATAAAGGTTCTCAGAATACAAAAAGAAATGGCATCCACAGATGTATGATTCTGAAGGATTTCTAGAAGACAGCACCATGCTGGCATATGGACCGCTTCAGCACACAAAGGAGAAAGCTAAAACCCAGAAGGGATCTTTTACGCCACAGGAGAACCTTTTTTCCCACTGAGGTGCTAATCGTAGAGCTAGAAAGAGATGGACCAACGTTTACCTAAGAGAAGTTTCAAATGAATGAATGAAGCAGAGATAAAGAAACAGAAGAAAACTTCCTCTCTTAATCTCAACCCATCATGTATCTAGCAGCATGAATAAAACAAAACAAAATAAAAACACATGCCACCCAAATATACGCTTATGAAATTCCAGAACTCCAAGTATAAATGAAAAGTCCTAAAATTTTCCATATGAGGTGAAACAGGTCAACAACAAAGGCATAACATCAGACTTCTTACATAAAACAGTGGTATTATTTTTTTTCTTTTTTACTATCTGTTACTTACATGAAAAAGTTTTTCTGTCTTTGGAAAAACTGCAACAATATCATACAGCCGGACCCTTGAAGAAGTTGCTCTCTAGGAATATAAAAAGAATGTTACCATATAACAACAACCAAAAATGCACATGGAATGCTGACTCCTGGCCTGGCGGCACTTATATTTCAATGGTGTAACACTTCTAATACGCTACTGACACGTCTGCTTTGCTTTGTAGGCTGACAGAAAAGACCTTTTAAACACACACGAACTTAGATTCCAACATCCATCCCACCAATTATCTCCCTTCCTTCCCTTCCACGTTGTTCTGCTTCCACTGTGCATTTTGCTTGAGATACAAAAATCAAAGTAGATAGCTCTTGCTCTTATAAGCTACTGGAGGGGCTTGCCAGAAATTTACTGAGCACCTGCTATGGGTAGGGCACTGGGGACACAAAAATCATTTAAGGCCTATGTCTGCTCTCAATGGAACTTACCATTTTTTATTTTCTTGTGAGACAAGAAATACATATGACTGAGTGTGATGTGATTAGGTTCACAATGAGAATACTGTTAAGAACAAATTAAACTGCTAGATGTGCAAGAAAATACCCAGGAGTCCTAAGACAGGAGAGGAATATCTCAGAGAGAAAAAGTTATTGTTTAAAAAAGAAAATCTCCAACTTACACTTTATGTGTGTACATGTAAAAAGGCTGGAAAAACAGATATTCAAATATACAATCTCTGAATGATGAGATGATATGGGGTATTTCTTCTTTGCTGATTGGCACCTTTTACATTTTTTTTAATCTCTTGTTTTGTAAAAAGAAAAGACGTGAGGAGAGGGGAGGGTATATAGCTTAATGGTAGAGTGCATGCTTAGCATGCATAAGGTCCTGGGTTCGATCCCCAGTACCTCTATTTATTAAAAAAAATTAAAAACAAAACCAAAAAAAGTCAAAAAATTAAAAAAAACCTAATTATCCTCTCCCCCCCAAAAAATAAGAAAAAAATTGTTTTAAATTAGAGGAGGAAAGAAAAGGGTTGAAGAGAAGCAGCAGGTACTGTGCTTAAACAGGAAGGAAAACCGGCCAGGCAAGCGTGTGCTGAGACAGGGTAGGCTCAGGTCTCAGAAAAAGTTATGGATCCAGGACTCTCTGCCTCTGCTTACATGTTACCACTTGTGAAAGGGACTAAAAGGGGCCACCAGGATGTTTATGATAACCAGAGACAATGAAAGTCTTTGTGACCATCAAAAGTCAGCTTCATGTATGCCTTCCAGGGCTTCGAGAACCAGAATGCTGCCCGTGATTGTATAATATCCCCAGATTTGGCTTTCCACAATTTCGTTAGCAAGGCTAACTGTTGGAAAGGAGGCTAGTCCCTCCTTGATTCCTCCTGCTCCATGAGAGAGAAGGCCATTCCAGCTAACGATAGAGCAGCTCACCTTCTCAGGGATCTGTCTCACTTTCTCTCTCCCTCACTGGATACCTCCCATCAGCACCAGACATTCTCAGGTCTGCCACCTAACAAAAAAAAGTTGACAGCAGGTTCTCAGCTGCCAGCCTCCTGATGCCTTCTGTCCTCTTAGGGATTTAAATTTCTCAAGCAAAGTCAGCAGCACACACAGTCTGCATTTTCTCATTTCCTATCACTTCCACGGAAATGGTTTTTGCAAAGGCAACCAATGACTTCCTCGTCCATAGGGGACTTGCCTGTCCAAGACATTTTTCAGCCCTTCTTCTCCTACTTGACTACGTGGGCACGCTGATGCTGCTGACCTTCTCACTTTCCTGGTTGTCCTCCTACTCCTCAGAGTCCCTCTTCATCCTCTACTTCACTATTCAATGCCGAAGTGCCTCAGGACTCTGTCCTAGACCTTGTCTTCCAGCACTGCACTTTGATCAGGGAGTCTTATCCATTCTCGTGATTTCAATCACTCTCTACAGGGTGACTACTTCCAAATCAGTATTTTTAATTGGAGTCCCTCTTCTGAAGACACTACCCTTTTTTTTTTCCAACCGCCCATTTGACAATCTCCAATGGAACTCTCACAACAACCCATCTGTCCAAAACATGATGCTCTCAAACTTCTCTTTCTATGCCCATCTCAGGAAATGGTACCATCTACCTACCTGGTTGCTCAGGCAAAGGCAGGGAGTCATCACCCTGTATCTAATCAACATTAAATACTGTCACCCTTCCCACCCAACCTCAATGCCTCTCTAATCCCCTCCTTTATCTGCTCTGATCAGTTTTCTATAATGCAAATCTCATAATTGTACTCCCTTGGTTAAAACCTTCAAGGGCTTCTAACTGATCACCAAGACCTACCTCCCTAACCTCATCTCATGTCAGACAGCCCACCAGGCTCAACTCAACTGGTACTTCATTTCCCAGAAGGCACCGTGTTCTTCTTGGATTCAGGACCTTGCATAATCCACCCTGTTTGTGGGAACATTCTCTCTCCTATGTGGCACCCATAACACTTACTGATTCTTCTGGCCCCAGTTTGAATATCAACTTTCTCAAGTTGGCCCCCTGTTATACACTCCCAGGACAGAATTTACTACCTCCTACTTTTATAACATTCCTCCCATTTTTAAAAGGATTGTGTCTGTATTATTTAGAAGAGTAATATCTCCAGCATCCACCTATGTCTGGTTCATTTAAGTTCAATGAATAACAGCTGCCAAAAGATTCTTTAATTGTGGCATCCTTATACATGTGCCATGAGTAAAGAGATTCCTTTATACTAGGTGAATTTTGAACTAAGGAGAGCAGTCAATTGTCATGCACTGGAAGTAGGGGGAAATGTCAGAATGGGGTGAGGTGAAAAACAACATTGTTCAACATTAATCAGTGAAACTTACAAGGTGAAAAAGAAGGAAAATAACTAACTTACCAAAACATTGCAGTGTGATGGATCTGAAACGATGATCGTCAGTCTCGTTAAAATTTTAATTGGTTTTGATTTTCCCTGTGATCAAAAGACGCACACAATAATAAATGATTGATTTTACTCCTTACCAGTGGAAAGTACTCACTAAAAGGTACTAATAAGAGATAGTGAAGATCAGAAAAGGCTAGTCCACATTCTCAAGAAATGTAGACTACAGGCATACCTTGTTTCAGTATGTTTCGCTTTGCTGTGCTTCACTGACATTGAGTTTTTCACAAATTGAAGGTTGGTGGCAACCCTGTCCTGAGCAAGTCTATTGGCACCATTTTTCCAACAGCATTTGCTCACTTTGTATCTCTGTGTCACATTTTGGCAATTCTCCCAATATTTCACATTTTTTATTACTATATTTGTTATGGTAATCTGTAAGCATTGATCTTTGATGTTACTACTGTAATTGTTTTGGGGCTCCACAAACTCCACCCATGTAAGACACAGAATTTAATCTATTGTTGAAATGACAACAAATGATTTAGAAAATTACATAAAATTAATGGATAAAGCAGTGGCAGAGTCTGATAGGACTTACTCCAACTTTGAAAGAAGATCTACTGTGGATAAAATGCTATCACACAGCACTGCATGCTACAGAGAAGTCGTCAGTGAGAGGAAGAGTCAATTCATGCAGCAAACTCCCTATCATCTTATTTTAAGAAACTGCCACAGCCAACTTGACCTTCAGCAACCACTATCCTGATCATCAGGTAGCCTTTAGCACTGAGGCAAGACCCTCCACCAGTAAAAAAGATTATAACTTGCTCAAGGCTCAAACGATGGTCAGGATTTTTAAGCCATAAAATATTCTTAAATTAAGGTATATACATTGTTTTTTCAGACCCTAAAGCTACTTGACTTAATGGACTATAGTACAATGTAAGCATAACTTTAATATGCACCGGGAAACGAAAACATTTGAGTGTCTTGCTTTATTGTGGTGGTCTGGAACCAAACCCGCAATGTTTGAGGTATGCCTGTACAGCTAGAGAAAAAGAGATGTAAGTATACTAAACTACATAATGAAATAATTTAAAGGTTGTAAGACTTCAGGAAAAGATCTTCCAAGAAGCACCGAATTGACAGAAGTACCGACTTCACAGACAGCTAAGTCTTCATGGAAGGGTAAGACTGGTAGACAGAGGAAGGGACAGTGCAGGTAAGAGCACACATCTGACTGGGTGTGTCTGAACTGAAAGAACTAGTATTATGCTATTTAAACAAAACACCTACCTGCACAATTGGCAAAGTTGTAAAGAGTTCTGAAACAGCTACTGGTTTTTCAATTTCCTACAACAAACAATAAACAGTCACCCTAGACGGTACACATTAATGGGATGAAGCAGAGTGGAAAATGTACAAGGGGTTTTGAGCCAAGGTAATTAAAAAAAAAAACCTGGCTTTTCAGAAACAGTAAATAAGTTGTGTGTGTGTGTGTGTGTGTGTGTGTTTAATGAAGAAAGCTGACAAGAGGAGAAGCAGCTGAGAACATCAATGGAGAGGAGGGATGAACAATAGTTTTTGGAATTAACCAATCTAAAACGAGATACAAACATTTACTAGCATCTTTAAGAGGGAAATCAATTAGTATTGAGCCCATACAGTAAAATAAAAAGGACTAAACATTGTAATTATAGTTTAGTCAGTAACAATGCATTTTTTTAAGTTACTGAAAGTCACTCAACATCAAATCCACATTAGGAATCCTTACACCATGCCCTAGCACTTCACAAAAAACTTTATCACTTATACAAGTATGCATCAGCTCAACTGCTAACATGTAAAACACTGCAGAAAGAGTGACTGCACTTAAGAAATACATATGTAGCATCCATATGACCAATATACACACAAATAATTACAAATGCTGGTTATTATTAACTTCAGAAATTATATTTTACCTGTTTCTTTTCCTTAAATTCAACAACATGATTGATGGCAACAACTGAATAGCCCACTGAAAAGACAAATTGAACATTCTTGTTAAATATAACTACCTCTCATTCCTGTACACAGAGGCTCATCCCAATTGATGTCAAACGAGGTCACTAGCAGGATGGGTATGGGCTCTCGGGTCAGGTCAAACAGCCTGTTTTCAAATCTAAGCATTACCACTTACAAGTTACTTAACCTTAAGATTCTTCATCTGTCAAATGGTGATAATAACAGAACTTCCCTCATATGTCCATCATGAGAAGTAAATGAGATAACACATGTAGATGTTTTAGAACAGTGCCTGGCACATAGTTAGGGCTTCACTTGACCTCAGTGATGTATTATTAGCGTGATACCAAAGACCCTTAACTTTGTGCATCTCCTTTCAACCCTCATTCTCTTTCGTGTCCCTTTGTTCATTTTCATTTGTCCCTTTTCATCTCACTGAATTTATACTTTTTGACTGTCACTTTTATTCTTACTCATTTCTTTTACTTTTTACCCTTTCTACTTCTTCAGAGGCTCTTTTGCTAAGGAGAATGGAGTAACGACTCCTTCACACCTATATCCACGTTCCCCTTTGAGCTGCTCAACATCAAGAGATTGGGAATTCTTGGAAGCCAGGGCCTTGCTTTAGCAACTTCAACACAGCACTGTTCTGGATATCTGGACTACCAAAAATATGTCTAAATCATGACTCCAGTATCTAAATTATTTAAACACCAACGGGAACAACAAGATATTAATATTAAAAAATAATGCATATTAATGCCAAAATAGTGGTCCGTCCTCTCATTAGTTTCTCCAATTTCCTTTCTTTCTTCTTCCCTCAAATATTTACTGAGCATCCATTACTTGACAGGCCCTGCAGAAACCTCTTTATTTTTAAACCCCTCTAGCCCCACTTAGACACTTTACTTTCTAGGAAAGATGACAGCAGTGGTCATTAACTTCAATAATTAAAACGAGGTTTTACTTCTCAGGGCTTTTGCTTCCCTTAGATTTAAATATGAGTAACATTCTAGCTCCCCTCCCCTCGCCTAGTAATTCCTCCGCCCCCACCTACCCTTCCTCTAAAGAACATTATTCCAACACTCACAACCACATATCCCTTCCCCGCTTCTCGGAGCCCTCACAGCACTCCCCGTTTTTGTACCATTTTCCCGCATTTGATAGCGTCAGAAGACTGTCTTGAGAAGTAGGAAGGGGTTGAGAGACTGTACACTTGGAAGCCCCCGCGGCTGCCAGCCATGAGCTGTGGGGCCCTATGCAATCCCTCTCCCTGCCAGGGCCTCAGTTTCCTCGACTCGCAAGAAAAGAGGTGCTGCACTGGGGAACAGCTTCCCGTGCTTTCGAGTTTCCCGCCCCTGGAATCAGAGCAACCCCGCAGCCGGCGTCAGCTTCCAGAGACAGCCGGAGACTCAGGGAGCCCTGAATGAGGCCAGCCCGGGTCCCTCTCGAGCGTGGCCCGATAGCCTAGGGGGCAGGGAGGATGAGTGGGCCCCGAGGCCCGCGAAACCGGGGCGACTCACAGTGAGCGGCGTTCTCCACGAGACCGCGCAGCGCCTTCAGGTCGGAACCCGCTCGCAGGTCCAAATCCGCGAACGCCGCCATGCTGCAGTCACATGACCGCGCGCGCGCTTCTGCGCAGCCGCGGGGCCCGCCCCCTGGGGCATGCTGGGAAGTGCAGTCCGCCCCTCCCGCCAGCGGACTAAGTGGGTTTCCCGGGTTCCTGGCTCGCTTTCAAGAACCAGCAGAAGTTAGTGTGTGGAGATCAACAGTCTCACTTCAGTCCTTCGTCTCCTTAGGAATGAGAATGCTTTACCATGAAATAATGTAGACAGTGATTCTTTCGAAATGTAAGTATACAAAATCTATTGCGCGCCTACCATGAACCAAACGCTTTTGCTAAGTGCTGGAAACCCTTCTTAAAAAGTCATTAGGAACTTGTGTTTCTTTCCCTCCCCTAAAGTCCATTTGCTGTCTAAAATGTGCTTAACGGGAAGATGGGGAAACCGACCTGACAAACTTGAAAGACGACTGTCCGAGAGAAAAGGTCGCTTTGCCCAATCAGAACTAGCGGTGTCGCAACACGCTGTCTCTATTACAGTCCCCAAACACGAGATGGCAGGGCTCTCTCTAGGATGCGTGGTTATCTCCAACACTGGTTTAGGCAAAAACAAGTTAGATGAGAGAGGTGCAAAACTGAAATGTCTTACAATTTTCCATCTGAGGAATGTTCAAAGTGGTATATATCCCACATATTTGATGTTTCCACACTTTTGAACTTAGTATAAATGAACTCTTGAAGATTGGTAAGTCAATTATCCTAGAACATAAAACTGTGGAATTGTAGTTTACATCAGTGCTTCTCCAGCTGTCTGTGATGAGGGGTCAGTCACCTCCCCTGCAGCCCCATTCTTCCAGGACCAGTAGGTGATCCATTGTGCATTACCAATAGGCAGCTCTGGCCTCAAAAGATTAATCTGATAACATCTGAACTGCGCTATACTTGGCTGAATAAGAAGAGTCCACTAATTGGGGGCTTGGGTATCCAGACAATGCTGAAGGGCTGTGAAAGTTTCTAAACATTTTCGGTTTCTGTACTAACTTATCACACACAGCACACAGATCACTCTGGTCTACGGGCCACATCTTGATTTGTACTCCTTTCTTAGTCTCAGAAGGGAATTTTAAGAGCCATCTGTTCCATGTAGTAGCATGCAATTCTCCTGGTTAAATTTCACAAAGAAGAAAAATCTTTTGCTTTCCCAATGCTTGATATTTCCTAAGTAAGAACAGAAAAAAAATTTTCTTCTGAAAATAGAACAAAGTCGTATAAAGCAAACCCTTTGCTTTTCATTGGAAAGTCTAGTGTTAATTGTACAGGCTTCTTCACCTATGATCACAAAATCTAGATTGGTCTGAAATATGTCCAATGTGTGATGAAGGTGAATCAGATGACTCATTATTTGATGCCAGCATTAGACTACAAAGGGCCTCTTTCTTTGAAAGCCATGGTGCTGATGCTGTAATTCTATCCTTTAGACTTCTTTTCTGTACCCTTTAGACATCTTCACCGTGCACCTAGGTGATGAAGAAGAAAAAGGACGAGAAGGAAAATGAATAGATAACAGTCATAAGCATTTATTGAGGGCAAGCCTGTTGGCTAAGTAATTACCTGCATATTTTATTTTCAAAGCAACTGTAAGTTCAGTACTGCTTTTTAGCAACATCTGCATTTTACATCTGAGTCATCTAAGGCTCAGGTAATCTGGTGGAACTCCATCTGGATCCAGGGGGTTTGGTTCAGTTCTCACTTCGTGTACTGTCTCCTGGGCAAAGCAAGCAGAGAGGAGAATTGGAGGATGGGAAGGGAGGAGGGGGAGAAGAGAAAAGAAAAGAAGAAGAGAATGGAGGGCTGGAGGGAGAGGAAAGAGGAAGTAGGAAGGGAGGGGGAGGAAGGGAAGGAGGTGGAAGAGGGGAGGAGGAGTGGGAAGAGGGCAGAGGGAAGAGGGACTAGGGGAGAGGAGCAGGTAAGAGGGGTGAGAAGTTGGTCTGGAGAGATAGGTGAGGCAGCAAGGATCTGGAGTTAGAAGAAGATCCTGGAAATTTCTGACTGGAAGATAATAGTACTGTATAAATATTCTACGTACTTCCTATCTGCTGTCCAATTTAATCCTCACAAATTAGAGCAGGCAGAGAGCTAGATGAGAGCAGAGAAGGGGTTGGGGACAAATGGCAGGAAACCATACATCTTGTAAACAACAGGAGTCCTTGGGCAGACAGAAAAGCAGGAACCTCTGGCTGATAAGAAACTATACATTTTAGAGTGACAAGTGTCCTGGAGGCAGACAAAGAAAGGTGGGAAAAGGCAGAAATCTCTGGCATCTGAATGTAATCACTTGTTCATTATGCCCTCATTACAATAAAATTAGCCTTGCAGATTGGAAGTACCCATCATGTACGGACATCATGACACTCCCAATCCAGACTAAATAAAGACAAAACTCCCTCCTCCCCTCAGAAACCTGGAGCTGGGATGAAAATCAGGGAATATGACACCAAACCCCTCCCTCCCCAGTGAATGTTCTGCTCATTCATTTTTATACCCTATATAACCAGTTTGCCAAAGAAACTCAGCACAGCTGCTCACTGAGTCTGCGCCCTCTCCCCTTGAGAGTGTACTATCAGTTAATCAATCCCCACTTTCCTTTCTTGACCTCCATCTCGTTTCTGAATTCTTTCTGTGATGAGACAAGAACCTACTCTCCGATAACACAACCAGTCAATGAGAGAGAGATTGTTATTCCTGTTACATCAAGTAGGAGTCCAGGGCTCAAAGAAGATGACTCCTCAGTCATTTCCTCTTCCTTGGAGAGCTAAGGAAGAGAAGGTGGGCTTTAGCATCCAAAGCAACCTTCAAGCCCTTCTCAGTCTCCCTGGGGACCTCTCTTTCTTGGGTGGTTCCTGAATATCAGTGCATGCTCAGGTGGTCTTTGGCCTTATCCTCTTCTTACTTGGTTCACCATTCCTGAGTGAGCCAAGAAATGCTATTCTGGACTTCTGTCCTCTGTCTGCTTAAGGCTGAAGTGGGGCAAGGCAAGAAAGCAGTGTCATAATATGATTTACATAGATGTGTCAGGAACATCTGGCAGGATCTGCTCTTCCAGATTGAGGGGGGAGTTGGGGAGATTTGGAGAGGATATAGGACAGTTTCCCAGAGGAGGTGATGCTTGAGTTATATTTTGATGCAAGAAATCGAGGAGCGACAAGACGCAGGAGTCTGGGGTATATCCAGAACTCAGTCAAAAGTTGAAGATTTAATAAATGAACCAGTGACTTCTTGTTCACCTTCATACCTATGTCAACAAAGTTGTAGCACTGTTGGGTGTATTCAGTTACCTAAACACATGGCCAAAAAATTTACTGAACTGTGCAGGTGGTGGGCCAGCAACCCAAATGAAACCCCCTCTCTTGTTCCCCATGATGGAGCACTTACTGGAGCTGCTGTGCAGATCAGAAAAAAGATATCCTTCCTCTAGGCAGACTCACATTGGCCTCTATTCACCACATGACTGGTAAGTTGTTACAGTGACCCACTTGCCCAGAGGCCCTGGAAAAGTATACTAGAGGATTTGATCGCTGAACCTAGAACTCAAATGGGACTCCACAGGACATCACCAATCCAGGGAGCCTTTCTCAATAACTCCTCCCTTGTCTTCTGGCCTTCCCTCAGAAACTCTCCTTACTGACCTGATATAAGAATTTGTCCGCCTTCTAGGCTGTAACACTGCTTGCAATGTTAGGGGTTTTTTTTTAATGAAATTAAGATGAAAGTGAAATATTTTTTATATCTATGTTTCTATTGAAAGTTTGAAAATGAAAGGCAGGTGAAGAAATCTTATATATTATAAAACTTAGCATTGTGAACTAAGGAGTATTCCTACCATCTTTAAGATGCAAAGTATGCCTATGACCAAAGAATACAACTGAAGACATCATTATGAAAGAAATCAAAAGGAGAGCTATGATTGGTATCTGGAAAAGACATGTGATGGGAAACTTAGTGAATGGAAAGAAAAGGGCCGAAATTGCAATAGGGTTGGTTGTTTAATGCAAGTAAAATAAATGACTGTATTAGTGTTAGGGTCCTCCAGGGAAACAAAACCAAGAGAATATGAATATATAAGTATATACATACATACATACATAGAGACAGAGACAGAGACAGACAGAATGAGAGAGATAGAGGCCAAGAAAGAGACAAAGAAAGGGGGAGATTTTTAAAAAGAAGTTGGCTGGTGTGATTTTGGAGGCTGACAACCCCAAGATCTGCTGTTGTCAAGCTAGAGACCCAGGACAGTTGATGGTATAGTTCCTCCAAAGGCAGGCAGGCCCAAGATTCAGGGAGAGCTGATATTTCAGTTTGAATCCAATGATAGCAACATGCCCACTGGAAGGCACTGGAATCCTCCCTTATTAGAAGAAATGTTGGTTCTTGTGTTCTATTCAGGCCTTCAACTGATTAGATGAAGCCCACCTACATTGTAGAGGTTAATCTGCTTTACTCATTCTATTGATTCACATGCTCATCTCATTCTGGAAAACCTCATGCACAAGGCCAGAAAAATGTCTGACCAAATGTCTAGGCACCCCATTGCCCAGTCAAGTTGATAAAACCATTGCTGTGATGCTGCCTTGAAATTGTTGCTTATTAAGTGAAAAAAAATTGCTCAGGCAGCTAAAACTTTTTGACTGAATACTAATTTGCTAAGAATAGTTACTGAAGGCAAAGAACAGGTCCTCAACAGAAACTAGCATTGCATTCCCCTCTCCTCCAGTGTACTGATGAAACTTCTGCTTGAGCTGAAATTTTAGCTCTGTGAATTCTTTGGTCCCTCCAGGCAGAGCCAATGTTCCTTTCCTCTGGGATCCCATGTCTTGGGTTCATATCTATGAGGCTTTTCACATTGCACTGTAACTAGTCTGTCACTTTCGCCAGATAGTGAACATCCGTAGGGTGGAGAATTTGCCTTATTTATTCATCCCTGGCACTTAGCACAGTGCCTATTAATACTTAGCTGGTACATGTTTATTAAATGACTGAAAGAATAGATCAGGGATAGTTTTGCATGGAAATGGGGACATGAACCTGATGGCAATTTTCATTTCAGATATTA